ATCGGGAACTTCAGATACATTGACCAGGAACTTTTATAAGTTTTGAACATTACAAATCATTCAACTTCAGTGGATTCACATCGGACATTAGTACTTTTACGAAAACATTACCTAACTTCAACAGTGAGAAAACTCGACGAAGAACACAGAGCTAGCTAGTTTCCCGTGAAGTGAATTGTACCTACGTCAACTCGAAATCAACTGGTTCATCGTGTATCCTGGATAAGACATCAAGGAAATTTCAGATTAGAAAGAATACTTTATATTGCTTGTAAGTTTGTGAAACTTTTGTATATAAATCATTGTTTGTAATAACTATTTGAAATAACTGTTATTGTAAATTGTATTGTTGTTTGTATATTAAAATATATTTGTGTTAAAAAAAAGAAAATTCGGTGTATCAATCTTGTTGGCAAATATAATAAACTGACTATATATCCAAAGTACAATTTAACTACCAAATTTAAAGTATCATTTAACTTAATTTTAGACCATTAGAAATTCTAATACGTAATAAGAGTTACATATGCCTTTAGGCATGATCCAATGACAGTACTTGGTTATAATGTATTTATGTGTTACCAAAATTTTAAATATATAAATTATAATACAATCTACGTAGTGAATTTAAATTTTGGTTTAAGTCTACACCTTTGCTACATAGCGCTCGTTACTTCTATTAAGCTAGACTAATGTAACCTAGATTTTTATTTTCGAGAAATAGTGATACTCATTCCAAGTAGAGTTTGTCTCAAGGCATCGGCCTAGTATCGTATTCAATACGGTAATTCTATTAACGTTATTTGTTACCGCTCATTATTTGTGTTGATTTAGGCTAAAGGCATCAGCCTATTATTGTACTAAATATAGTAAGATTTATAAAGTTGTTTTCCACTGCCAATTATTTGTGTTAAGTTAGGCTAATTGTTATATTTTTTAAAGGAAGTTAGTATTTAAAATATATATTTTTAACAAGCAATGAAGTTACTTTAAAGACATAGGCATATTAAGATTTATTTGCTACTGCTCGTTATTTGTGTTAAGTTAGGCTAATTGTTATATTTTTTAAAGGAAGTTAGTATTTAAAATGTAAATATATGTAATTCAAATATATATTTTTAACAAGCAATGAAGTTACTTTAAAGACATAGGCATATTAAGATTTATTTGCTACTGGTCGTTATTTGTGTTAAGTTAGAATAGATGAAAAATTGTTTGAATGGAACTCGATATTTCAAATATAAGTATATAACTGGACAACTTTTGTTGAATACAAATAACACAATGCAGTATAAGTAGCAAACATTTCAGCATTTCATCACTTTTCTTCCTTTCTTTCTTTTGTACATGAAATCAATATTCAAATGAACAATTTTTTTCTCTTCTATTTCTATAGTCAAGATTGCTCTTACTTTTCTCTTTCGTGGTATCGTTGTTTGCACAAAATATCCAGGATCTTGGTTCTGTTTACGAATTCTTGGGCGGAACATAGTTCCAACATGGTCAGAACACACTTTTTTGGTCAGAGTGCTAAAACACGACCCAGTTTTCCAACAATTTGTAATGGCCGTCTCGACGGCTATGAATTTAACTAGATTTAATAAAAATATTTTTTGTCAATAAGAATGAAAAGAACTTGAAGACTTAACTACATCTAAGGAGTAAAACAACATATTTAAGATAATTTTAGTCTAATATAAACGTAGCAATATTTTATTGAAAATACACCACAAAACTGAAATCAAGGTTCTTTGATAGATTGTTTAGGCAGAGTATTCATGATGAAATTTGGTTGAATGGACGGCAACTGCCTGTTGTAGAAACACAAATATAGAGGACGACGTTTCGAAAATATTCCCCCAATTTTCTTCAGGTCCTGAAGACGAAGTTCCAAAATAGAAAGTAAAGCTTATTAATTGTGTTATATGGTAAAGATCAATTAAGAAATAATGTTAAAAGTCAATTAATTACAACAACATTAGCATTTTACAAATAGATTTGCAGGAAAGCTCATACAGAATTAAAGGTATTTATTTCAAGCAATAATTAAAACAGTATTCATGTTATAATTTAGTAAAATAACAGTATATTAGGGTACGTTTGTGGCTAGGAAATTTTTATTTGGTTTCCACTGTGAAAGTTCAGCAGACATTATTTTATTGAATTTGAAATCAGATTTTCAAAATAAACTAGTAAGTGTAATGTTCCTCATGTATATCAACAGCTAAAGTCTTTTTTGTATAACTGAATCACAATATCCCAAAGTTTCAAACCTTAACTAAAATGACTGTATATATAAATTGAGACCCTAGTGATTTGATTAATGCCAGTATTGTCATTATCGAAACAGTAAAATGACCGTTATTTTCAAGCAAAGGTTTTTATACGTATGTTATTTTGATATAAATAGTATGATGAAATTTGAGGTAAACATAGCTCTGTGTGTGTAATATTGGAATCATATTGAATAACGAATTAAGGAAGGGTGGAAGAAATTATAAGCCCATTGTTTAAAGAGAACAAGCTATATCACATATTTTTCATATCTTTCATAAGAAAAATGTATTTATTACACTGATACACCCATATATCATAATCAAACACTTCCATTAAATTCTGCTGTCAAGTCTTATACAAGAATTAAGAAGCAAATTATCGATTCATGTGAACACATGTATAGCTGATACGTGTCGCCATCTATTAAATAATATAATAACTATATTTTAATGGGTGAAAGCTATAATAATACTTTAATGATTATTTTAGGATAGTTTATAGGATTAATTGCATAATTACTTTATTTAATTTTTCCAGTGAATACAGTGAATTTTTCCATTGCAGCAAAGAAACTGAAGCAAAAGCAAAAAATCGGAGAAAAAATAATATACAATTTTTATCAGTTAGATGCTTACAATGATTGCTATGATAAAGGGTTGTATTTTATCTTCACTGTTTTATACAAAATATGTGTTTAAAAAATAATTATCCGCGCGTATATTCTGACTTATCTTTATATCACAATAGATTGTAAGAGTAATCTACAGTTAACAATTGTATCCAACATTGTATTCTAAACATAATTTGGTATTAATATTTTACAACAACAAAAAAAACTACTTGTGAATAAACCATAGCGTGGATTAAACGTTGACACTATTAGCTGGCTAATGGGACCATCTGCTGGCAGGATTCCCTACCAAGTAGCCATGTAACCTCCAAATTACTAACTGCGAGACCGAGAGAACTGTGATAAATGGGCTACAACTCGGCTAGAGACGCCCAAGGCGGTTCAAAATGACAAGCCGATGCAGCGGCGAGTTCAAACACTTTCTTTTCAATTCCGCCCCTTTTCCTACGGGCAATACATTAAGAAATGAACGAACATAGTGTGAATACGCTTTAAAATGTAGTACTCAAACAATTCAGAATTATTTTCTCTAAGGACAGTCACGGATACTTTTCATCATTTTATATGCAGTAAAAATAAGATAGACGTGATAAGAAGTAAGCTTGTAAATGTTTCTATCTGTGATTACGGTATCAAAACTTTTGAAACTTATTTACAGCTGCCTACTTGCGGATGAATATTTTACTATTTCAGTAGTCTCACGCGGGGCTTGTTTAGAACTTTACAAGAAGCGTTTGGGTAAGCAGTTCACAAATAGTACGAGGTGAAAAGTTGTTGTGGTGCGTGTTGAGTTAACATCGCCCGATTAGTTTAGCTTCAGTTTACTTTATTTTTAAGGTGTTAGAGATGAAATTTCAGTTGAGATGAATTAAAAGAGTTACTTTTGCATATGATATTAGTGTATCAAGTGATGTATTGAAGGTACGCGACATTCGAGACTTTACGTTCTTTATTGAATCGTCAACGTTTTTGGCCGTCAGAGGAATCCACTGTATTCTGCAATCATGACAAATATCATTTCAGTGACGGTTCTTTACTTGATTGTGGTAACGTATAGGCTGGAAGGGACGTTAGAAACGCATCATAAATGTGAACGTATTACGATCCCAATGTGTCAGAATATGCCATACAATATGACAAGGATGCCAAACTTCATGGGTCACTCTGATCAAGCGGAGGCAGCTATTCGAGTGCACGAGTACATTCCTCTAGTTAAGATTGGCTGCTCTAGACATCTTAAGTTTTTCCTCTGTTCTCTGTACGCTCCCATGTGCACAGAACAAGTAGATATACCTATTCCTTCCTGTCAGTCTATCTGTGAAGAGGTGAAATCCAAGTGTCTCCCTGTATTACAGCGGTTCAACTTTGAATGGCCCGATGCTCTCAATTGTACTCGTTTACCTGTTCCTCAGAGAAACGGACTTTGTATGGAGTATCCGAACATAACGGACGACCGTCACTCCCTCTCCCCGGTATCTGGGAAGGACGACGGGAAGGACCCTAACTTGTCCCATCAATACAGCGACAGCTCCTCCCAAGCCCACTTCATACCTCGTCGACCCAGCCTTTACCCTTATAGTATCAAGACATCTAGCCCCAATAGTAAAGTGCCCGACTTTTCTCAGATCCCATCCTTTGGAACTTCTTGCCCTGAAAATTTCGTGTTTGTGCCATCCCGGAGAGCGGGGATTGTGGAATGCAGTCCCCGCTGTGACAGAGAAGTGTTTTTCACCAGGAAGGATAAGAACTTCGCAGAAATTTGGATGGGAATTTTTGCGGCCGTATGTTTCATGTCCACCTTATTCACGGTTTGCACGTTTTGGATTGACTCTGCACGTTTTCGCTATCCCGAACGTCCAATTATATTTCTCAGTATGTGTTTCTGTATCTATAGTTCGGCATACCTGATTCGGATATTTGCAGGGCCCGAGTTCATATCATGTGAAAAGACAGAAAATGGTGAACCCTACTTGATCAAGGAAGGCCTAGAAAGCACCGGCTGTATCATCGTTTTTCTCTTGACGTATTACTTTGGCATGGCCGCTGCTGTATGGTGGTTGGCCCTCACGTTCACTTGGTTCCTAGCAGCAGCTAAAAAGTGGGGGCACGAAGCCATTGAGTCACGAGCCTCTTATTTCCATCTTTTAGCTTGGGCTGTTCCCGGAGTACTAACCATTGTCGTCCTGACTTTGCGACATGTGGATGGTGACCAGCTAACCGGCATGTGCTACGTTGGAAATTCGGACAAAGAGGCACTACTGTGGTTCGTCATTGCTCCTCTAAGTGTTTTCTTTGTGCTTGGCGCCACTTTTATTATCCTTGGATTTGCGTCTCTTCTTCGGATCCGAAGAGTAATGAAAACTGGAGGTAGGAATATCAGTAAACTAGAACGTTTAATGATTCGGATTGGAGTATTCTCCGTCCTTTACACTATTCCTGCACTCGGCCTCATTGCCTGTCACTGGTATGAATATTCCAATAGGCCAACATGGACAGCTACTGCAATGGCAACCTTGCTTACATGCCCATTACGAGATGGAGATGGTACTTGTAGGTTAATAGACAGTATACCAAGCGAAGAGATATTTATGCTGAAGATATTCATGTCGCTTCTCTTGGGGATCTCCACTGGAGTGTGGATTTGGAGCAACAAGACTTGGAATTCTTGGATGAAATTCTTCAACAATAAGCTACACAAGAAACCCAGAAGAAACTTCAAAGCTCCGACTGTAGTGTATCACACACCTCACACTGAATCAAGCAAGGCCACGTGTAGCAGAAAACATGAGCGCCACCTTCATCAGATACAAGTGACCAGAATCTGAACTGTAGAGCTACCAACAAATGATGTCATATTTCATGTTTAGTAATGGTGGATTGATGTCTGCTTGACTCGTTTAATTTTGATGTCTTTCATAACTGTTCTCAAGAATACTGTAAATATAACGGGCATGTATACATGTGTGTGTATGTATATATAGTATAAATGTAGCACCTTATGTCACACGGAGAGAGCGACTGCCAATGAGTGAACAGAAAGAACTTATGCATCTTAATTCTGATAAATATACCAATTTTATTCTTGCGCTGACGTTTGAAATAGAGTAGCATTTTATTTCGTAATTGTTTAACTATGTAGGATATACGAATCAGAGTTGCAGTAAATATATATATATATATTACTGAATAAACATAGGAGTGTCTATAGTGAAGGTATGGTTTTATACATTAAATCACTAAATAGGAGTTATTACAAGTTTGTTGCTCCAGCAAAAAAGTAGAATTGTAGAATGCCAGTGTGAGATTTATAAAAAAACTGATAAAGTGTATATCTGAGTGGCTTAAATTAGGACTGGTTTGATGTTTTATTGGGAGGGGGGGCAGTAGCCATCAACAGAGGTATAAATTACTGGATTTAGTAGTCTTGATATTTCATCTGTAAGCAACTTTAAAAAAAAAAAAAAGAAGAAGCTTGGAACATAAAACTATGCGTGAAGTGTATTAACCTGTTGTTACACATTGTAACAGTTACCTTTGTTGCTTAATACACACGCAAGTATTTCAATTGTGCTGTTGAAGATCCAGTTAACAGTCTAAATAAACCATGCAGTATTCTTGTTGGTTCATCAATTGAACAATGTTACTTCTACTTAACCAAAATATATTTCACAAAATCGTTTTTGTACAATATAGACCTATTTAAGTAACACATTTTAAAAAATGCCCCCCCCCACATTATTTTCATGACGTTATTGTCTTCGAAATGTACTTAACGTATAGATTGCAGAAGAAGCAAACTTATGAAAAAGTTCGTCGCTTGTATATATATATATGGTAGTGAAAAAACTAGAGCCTAATTAGACCTTGTCAATATTTGTTTTAACACCATAGGAAAACATTTTCTCTGTAGATTTAGTAATATACCGTCGATCTTGACCGTTATTCAAGACAAGTGTTCTTGCTCTGACTCTGTGTGTATGTATAATTTATACTATATGATATAATTTGTGCTTGAGTTTGAGTAAAAAAAAAAATCACTCATTGTAACAAAGGGGAAAAAAAGTGTATGAATATGTACATAAATATCACACTCGTGTTATTAGAAATTGTAATTAAAATCTACTTGTTTCTATAAAAAGAATACTTCCTTATTCACACCATTACATAGCCTACTATATAACCATGATTCTAACAATACTTCCTTATTCACACCATTACATAGCCTACTATATAACCATGATTCTAACAACTTCCAGAAAGAACTTGAAAAGTGTTCATAATTGTAAAGAATAATTTTTGAAAAACGTAAACGTCGTTTTTTATCCAGTTTAGAAAACTTTCATGAACATCAGTATATTAACATTTCCTTCAATATTTATCTAAACCATTAAAAATCTGCCAAGTTGGATTAAGTGATTATCGATAATTTGGAGTTATTAACATGAACCATCATTTTTCACTTAAGTAATCTTTCAGGTGATAATAAAAACGAGCGCCTTTACCCACTTAGTGTAACGACATCATATAGCCTTCCACGAAGAATTAGCGTTACGTGACTAATTGCATCATCTTTAGGGGCGTCGCTAGGATTTTTCCATGGGATAGGGGTCGGTTCTGAAACACTAATACATGTTAGTCGTGGGTCAGTAGCAGTCCCTAGCAAGGCTCATGCTAGATTGAAGAAATACATTAGCAAAAGAAATGGGTTACTGATATAAAATTATAACGCCACATTCAGCAGCTTTTGTAGCACTAAACGTAATTTTTCGTGCAGTTGGTGGGGGTGGGGCACTCGCATCCGACGACTCCTCCCACCCCAGTCCTTCTAGTCCATGAAATACCTTTACGTTATTTTATAGCTATACTACACGAAATTACGTGATTGTTCACAATATTCTAGAATGTCTCGTACACTCGCACAAGAATTTTAAAATTCTGCTCAAAGAGATCGAAACTAAACCTAACTTTACTTGAAACTTCGTTATATCGTTAGCACATGATTTATTCAGGTAATGATTTGCGAATCATCACATATGCACTGTGCTTACTATGTTAAAAATTTGCCCCGTTTCTCATAAGGAGTAGAAATTTATATTAAGAGTGAAGCTATAGATCGAGCATGCTCAATTGATTGCATGATTACCCATGTGAATGTAGAACCTAGTGTTGTGTACATCCTATGACGTCAGAATCTTCGTCGACCATAAACAACATAATAAATTGACAAATCGCTAGAACCCTAACAGCGTCATACTAATTACAAATTCCTCTCCAGTTTGAGTCATAATTTTTGTCCTTTTACAAAGTATATTGTAAGTTTGTTCATAACCATGCTGTTTCCAAAATGTTTTTCTTTAAACTGATTTGGCCAAGTTCCTTCGCTGAAGTGTAAGTTATGTGCATTTCTTTTAGACATTTATAGAGATTTTCCTTCTATTCTTTATTTATTATGGGACACATCTACCACATAAAGCAAAGTGTGTGTCCGGAAAAAAAATATACACTCGTATATTTATCATTTCATATCTGTTCCACATTTCTTGGTTAATCGGCGCCAAACGTGATTCTGGGTGAAATGATGATCCCCATCTAATTTCGAAAAAAACTACCAAATCAGCACAACTTGACACAGTGATATAGGATGGCGTGAGGGGGGTTGGAGCCCCCTTCCATCTAATTTCATATTGATAAAATTCTTAAAAATAGTATGACTTTTTTTCAGTATTGGTACCTTTGTATATTTTTATTGCACTTTTAATGTTTATTATGTTAAGAAAAAAAAATAGAAGCACAATTTCCTATTCTTTGTTACAAACAAGTTTTTATTAGACTCGTCCAACGGACGGGTGCTCCAGCTAGTTTAGTATAAAGATTTACCTTGAGAAACATGTGCAATGGTTTCATCTTATTTGAAACAAGATTTTTGATTCGATTTTTTCTTCTCGCACGCAAGACAGCTACTTTACTCGTTGAGTTAAAGAGCTAAGTAACTAGTAGAGGTTAACTCAAGTTAAACAAAGAAGCTAAACATTTGATTTTATCTACACAACGATAATTACAGCAATTTTACTGCTGTAATAAGAGTTCTGTAAAAGCAGTTCTATACATAAAAAAATGTTTTCTAATATTAAATAAATAAAAATAAAGTGTGACCGATAAGGATTACGTCCTTAGACTACCGCATGTTTTACAGCTAAAATCAATTAATTCATATATATATATTTCTATAGACAGGCCCAAGAGTTGGCGGTGGGTGGTGATGACTAGCTGCCTTCCCTCTAGTCTTACACTGCTAAATTAGGAATGGCTAGCGCAGATAGCCCTCGTGTAGCTTTGAAAGAAATTAAAAAAAAACTATAGACAGGCATAGGATGAAAGACAGATAAGCAAATAGATAAAGGACGAAACAGGCTAAGAAATAGATAGACAGATGAACGGATAGAAACAAAGACTAAGAAAAATCTCCAATTACTGAACCTCGTGCTTGTCATACAAAAAAATGCATGTAACAAAGGCCGTTTTTAAACTACACCTACTAAGAGACATGCGCAGACCATTCGAGATTAAAATTTTAATGTAAGGTTAAACTTGCGTGATGTCACCAAGTTTTGTTTTGTTTTTAACAGAGCAGGAACAGAATGAGCCGATAAGATGGTTAGGTACAAAAATATAGACATTACATTTCTCGTGTTGTAACAATCTTTCTTGGTCGAGATAATGTCTGAGATGAAAAATAAAAAATACAGAAAAAGAATTGACGAAAACCCATTACACTCTTGAAAAGAAGCAAGAACTGGTTAATAGTGACCTATTATCTGTACTGTACGTGTGATTCCTAAATTGTTTAGTCAAAGATAAAAAAAAATCTCGTGACTATTTCGGCGTTTGTATTACGTGCTCGACGTCAACATCCAGCCGTGTATACCTAAGGCGGTCTTCGAAACATTAAGAAAGCTAGGACAAGTCTAAATACAATAGCTCGCTTATCTGCTATAAAATTAATTTGTCTACATTTAATGCACTTTGTGTTTGTCGTGTAATGTCTTTTGTGGAAATCCCCTTCTGCCGAAGCCGTGAGTTTTGTTTGCAATGTTTAGTGCCTTGACATGATTCTGAATATATCTTTTAACAATGCTTATGTATTTTTCTCATTGGAAGGTACGTAGATCATCTAGTTTATGTCTATGACAACAAGGCATTGTTTGCTACCTGTGAGATATATTTTGAAACTTTCTTTCGTCCATTTCTAGTGAAAATTAGTAAAATAAATCGCTAATAAATCTGAAAAACGTGTAGTTACAGACGCTGAAGTAAGGCACTTCATTTAATCTATAGTTTTATTCTTTATGTGCAATGTTTAGTACCTGATGTTGTCAACCTGAACAGCACTTTATGAAATATAAATGACCAGGTCGGAGACCCCTAAAATTCAAGCATAGCCATCCTTATTCAGAACTACTGGTCAGAGAGAAAAAGCACTCAGTTAGCATCACCCGCCGCCTACACGGCGACTCTCAATCGAATAGTGAGACTGACAGTCACGTTTATATCGCACACGCAGCTGAATGTGTGGAGGTTATTCAGTGGCATATCCCAGGCTCAAATTTCAAACTTTACATTCCACAGTCTGGCACGTTAAACAATAAGCCATGACAGCCCTCTTTATGTGCAATAGCTAGAGAAAGTCGTTGTTTTTGTAAACTCTTTCAAGAAATGATTAACCAAAAGATAAGGTTAAAGGGTACATGGGAACATAAGTGTAGAGAAAATCGGAAGGTTTGATTTATTCCTCAGAGTTTCTATAATTCCCAAATCTTTGATGAAGTCAAAGTTTGGTGTTACGTAATTACGGATAAGGTCTTACTAACACAAATTCACTTATGGACTGTCTATCCTCTACAGGACATACCAAGGTCACAAACTTTTCTAGGTAAGTTTCATTGTCTCTAACTTTCGGGTTACCAAGCTTGTTGTATTCTGATTAAAATTCGTAAATGTTTGTTCACATATTAGTCCATAAGCGGTAGTAATTGTTCTCAATTTTTAAATTTTGATTGTTTTAAAGGAATAATAACTATGAAGTTTAGCCTGTTATCTTAGCACAGTTAGCGTTAGCTCTTCCGAATTTGATGGGACTAGCTGTTGAGTAGACCAGTCGCATCCAGTTGATTGCTATGTCCCTTTCCCAACAGAACTGTTACATTTTTCAGGCATGAATATTAATAGGGTTTTTTATTCTTGCACTTACAAACATGAATTCGTGTACAAAAAAAACATATATGGATATGACGAGTGTGAAAACTTGGTTGTGTGACGAGTGTGAAAACTTGGTTGTGTGTGTTGAATTCAAAGCCACGTGTATGTGCAGAGGCAGAACCGTTGTACGTGTATTTATACAAATATAGCCCTACTTGTATAAACATAAGATGTGCATGTACGTGTTTCTAGAAATATATTAGCGTGCAACGGTGCGAGTGTATTTAACAGCACATGCCTTTGTATACGTTTTAAATTATGGTTTTGAAAGAGACCCTTTTCTTGAGTGTGTTAAACAGAAGAACTCGTCACAGAGGCATCGTTTTATACTTGTGTACAAGTCGTGTTTCAGAACTCTCTGGTCGTCCATTTCCTCGCGTGTGAGTCAATAGTGATCCATGATAGTGGTAGTTATCTACAAAACTCGGCTAATCAAACCCGCTCAGAAGACGTACGACAGACAGAACCACGGTCCTAAATAGCCAAGCCCCGTAAAAGCGGCGTCTTTCATCAATACAGAAAAGATTAAACGCGAACATACACACAGGAGCCGCGTAGTTAACAACCTCACAGTGACTATCTATAGAATGCCACATAACTTTTTTATCATTCGTATCAAGCAGAAACTTTAATTTAAACATCCTGGAGTTTACAAAAACATTGCTCAACAAGAATATTTTTATGGGAATTATTGTTAACGTTTTTTGTTTTTTTTATGGTATCGTACCATCTTTACTGAGTATAATTCAATAAAGTTGGAAGTGGGATACACAAACCTTGTTAAACTTGTGTGAGTAGAAATGACGAAAGGAAAGTTACAACAACAGTAACCATAGTGACGCAAGACTTAATTTGGCAAGCAATGTTCCAGTAAAAAGAAAAGAGTGAAAAAGATCAGAATGTGGCTAGACAACATGCATTAAAGAAGTGTAACAAATGAACAACACAATAGCTCTTGTGTATAAAGGAACAATGTATTTTTATTTAATGAGTAACTCTATTTTAATCTCAATTACATTAAAAAATTCTAACTTGAATCCAAAAACGTACACTTTTCATAATGTTCTGGTGACAACTCGGAGTACAGACGGACTTCAATGTTGAACAATATGATTGCGCTTCTTTTCCTGGACCGTGCTTGAAGAGAACTGGATCAGATGGAAGTTGTATCATGACTGTGCCAGAACTTTGATGTACGGAAATAACAAGACTGAAAGAAAGATAAAGTGCGAAATAAAATAGAACAAAGAAAGACCCGTCTCAGCCCACTACACAAATGATTGCAGAACGACCATTGTGTGTCCCAGTGATAAAGCTTGGCAATAACCTGCGAATGTTAGGGCCCAAGATATTACAGCCAAACTGTACCATGTTAAAACAAATATTTCTCATAGTTTACAGTCGCCATAAAAATGAAACAATCTCAAGATACTGGTTTAAAATGGTCAAATTGAATTGTTACAAATAACTAAGATTTGGAAATATGAAATAAACTTTTAACGTTATATAAATATAATAATAATAATAGGTTTGACAGCCAGGACTATCCAAATCCCATAGATATGTTTTTATTTAGTTACTTTACATTTTAATGTTTATTATTATTATTATTCAAACATTTTAGTTAGTATTTAAAGTATTCTGTTGTGCGAAATATACTAATTTAAGTAAAGAGTAAAAAAAAAAAACAAAATGTCTGAAAAATACCATAACTCTTACTGGTTATGTAAAATACACTACAAACAAGTCAATCTCGTATGAAGTTTAAATACGTGATAGTGGCACACGTGCCAAATACAAATAAAACTGTCATATATTTAAACACCTGGTATTGTTCAGGTAAAACACGTGCTAAATACAAATAAAACTGTCATAGATTTAAACACTTGGTATTGTTCAACTAAAACACGTGCTAAATACAAATAAAACTGTTATAGATTTAAACACCTGATATTGTTCAGGTAAAACTCGTGCTAATACAAATCAATCTGGTACGGATAAAAACAACTGGTATTTCTCTGGTAAAACACAACGTACAAGCGAGTCATCTTCGTATTTGCTTAAGCCCCTGGTATTATAATTATATTTGTGATAAGACATTAGTATTAGACATATTATTTATTGTTGACACCATATTTTATATTCAGTCTCTAAAGGTTTTTCAAGAAGAAGAACATTGTGTAATAGTATTTAATCAAAGTATTTCCGCCATATCCATTGTCGACGACGCTTTTCGCTCAATCCAGAGATCATCATATTGACCAGGACACAACAAATACAGTAGTGATCGGAACACTATTTATATAAACCACTTGTTACAACAACAACTTTTATGGTCTGAACATTTTTTTGTAAGCTGATAATTTTCAGGTACTGAGATAAGTGCTAAATACAAGTCAATATGGTATGGCTAAAAACACCTGGTACTGTTTACATAAAACACAACCAACAAGCAAACCTGGTATATCTTTAAACACATGGTATTTTTCAGGCAACAAACACTCAAGGTGGAAACTAGGAACTGTAATATAGGTTTAAATATCTAGTACTGACATAGGTTATGTATTTGGTATTTTAGTTAACCACAAGTAAGACACTCAGTCAAGGTGGAAACTAGGAACTGTAATATAGGTTTAAATATCTAGTACTGACATAGGTTATGTATTTGGTATTTTAGTTAACCACAAGTAAGACACTCAGTCAAGGTGGAAACTAGGAACTGTAATATAGGTTTAAATATCTAGTACTGACATAGGTTATGTATTTGGTATTTTAGTTAACCACAAGGTTTACCTAAACAATATCAGGTTGACTTGTTTGTAGTTTCTATTTACCTAAACAATATCAGGTTGACTTGGTTATATCTCGCCTTTTACCTAAATAAAACTAGTTAAATGAACGTATACCAATCTGACTGATTTGTCAGTAGCTTGTTTTGTCTTGAATAAATTAAGGTACTTAAGCCCAAATAACAGCGAATACTTTGTACAATTGTACTTGGTATTTAATATGATGCTGGATTGATATAATTTTAGCTTGTTTTATCTCACCCATACTAAGTATTTAAATCTGTTGTTTCGTTGATATGTTTGTAACTTGTGTTTTAATTGAAAAAATATACTCTAAACTGAGTGTCTTAAGAAATGACAAACAAGTCAACCTGATATTATTTAGGTAAATAGAAACTACAAACAAGTCAACCTGATATTGTTTAGGTAAATAAAAACTACAAACAAGTCAACATGATATTCTTCAGATAAAACAGGAGCTTCAAACGTGTCATCCTGGTCTTGCTTAGGTAAAGCACAAATGTCGATTACGTCTTATTAAAACCTCATCAGCTCGTTACAGGCCATGTCCGGGCGTGCTCTACCTAACGATCGTACATCTTAACAATAGCCCTGCAGCATAGTTCGAATTGTAAAAAACTCTGTGTGAAAGCACACTAATCGTCCCTGTACGCTTTCCAAATTCCATCTAGTGTACGAGAACAACGGTTTCCCAACACCTGTTTCAACAATTCGATCGTACAGAAATCCATAGGTAACTTAACCCGTATGTCTTCATATCGAGTACGACTCGTTGCAAGTCTCTTTCTGGTTGGTCCTGGTACACCAATTTGAATCATATTCCTTCACTTTCCAATGCCATTAGGTACAAGGTATATCTAACTTTTGGAAATTCTTGACCTTTATGTCTTTGTATGGAATAGCATGAATACCTTTTTAATTTTTTAGCTGCTTGAAGTATGCAACGGTTGAACGGATATGTTATGGAAGCAACTTATATACATATGGCTTGTGTCCCTTTTTCAAACAGAGATCTTCTTGATTATTTTGCTACTGTTGCCTGGGGCACATGGACAGCTTTTTCCACTGACCTTTATGTTCGTGATTCTCACCACTTACACGTCGACGCACTTTGCTTATCAAGGATGGGTTACGACTTGTTGCAGGTCTCTTTCTGGATGGCCTTTGTATTTCAAGTTGATCCATATTCCTTTGATTTCCAGTGCCTTTAAGTATAAAATATATTCCCGTCTTGGAAATTCAAAATCTCCGATCAGAGCGCATTATTATGATTTAAATGTATGAATATTTTGCATCTGAAAGGGCTGTTACAAAAGTTTTCTAAAAAAAAAAGTAGGTCAATTTTCGTTGGCAAAACACTACCTACGAAACGTCAAAACAATGTAAAAATCTACTTCTGACACATTCCGTTACACCGCAACTCGCTGATTTGCATACTCAAAATCATTTTCATATTACACACTTTATCCGTATCTAGAAGCTACAAACAAGTCAATCTGATTTTGTTCAGTTAAAACATGAGCTACAAAAAAAAAAGTCACCTAGTATACACTAAATTTCTAAATAGCTAGTATTGCTCAAATAAACCACGAACTATGAGAAATCCCTTCGATTTAGTGACTAGTGTTGGTATGAAATATGTTTTTAACCACATAATTACATGGCCAGTTCAAATTGCTGTTTCTGGTTGTTTATACATAATAACGTTGATGAACAATTTATCTGTTAATTCGGAGAAAATCTTCTATTTTAACCACACAAATTTACACTCGTGACTTCCCTTTTTAAAAGCTAATAAATCTTGTTTTCAAAAGAGGCCATTAAGAACGTCTATTCTAAGTTACCGTATAAAAAAGAACAGCATCGAGCCCCCTACCTTTTCAAAGTGTTAACTTGATTGATGTAGTTTCGCGTCTGCTGTTAGGCTTAACTTTCTCTAAGCACTTGACCACGTATACTCAGAAAAATCTAACAAAAAAATAAAAGGGAAGAAGAAGAATCAGTTGCACTGTGATATCCCCAAGACTAGTGTCATATTTTGGACAAAAATAAACTTCTCGCACGTGCTGCACAAATAATAACTTGTAGTGCTACGAGATCGATAAATAAAACTAAATTTTACTAATCAAATAACGTTCTAGCTTTAGACAAAATAGTAGCAGAGGGTCTCAAAAATATTGATTCAAATACCAGAAGTGAAATGTATATTACTCAAATCTTATACACACAATGAAATTAGATAAGCGTATAAAATATTGTCCATATGATTGTTAAGTACGTGAAATGAGTCAATATTTCTTCTTTTTGATAAAAAAAGGCCCTCTATACATTTTATACTCTTCAAGGAATTAATAGGCTAAGTCAACAATTGTATTCTAATGAGATGGTAAATAAAATAAAATAATGGCTGGAGGCGTGGCTGAGGGCATAGATTGATGTGCTGTGGATTAGATGTTCCATGGTTCGCTTCCCGTTACCAAAAAAGAAAATGTTGCGCTTAGCACTTTGGGGCTGTGGGTGCGTTATAAGAGAGACGGTCAAATTCCACTATTCGATTAGAGCAGTGCAAGAGCTGATGGTGAGTGCCGTTGACTAGCTGACTTTTCTCTAGTCTATCCGTTCAAAATTAGGGACAGCTAATATAGTTAATCTTCTGGTAAAGATGTTACAGCTACACTTTGGGATTTTAATATGATATAGTTAATCTTCTGGTATAGATGTTACAGATACACTTTGGGATTGTAATATGATGTAGTTAATCTTCTGGTATAGATGTTACAGATACACTTTGGGATTGTAATATGATATAGTTAATCTTCTGGTATAGATGTTACAGATACACTTTGGGATTGTAATATGATATAGTTAATCTTCTGGTAAATATGTTACAGCTACACTTTGGGATTGTAATATGATGTAGTTAATCTTCTGGTATAGATGTTACAGCTAACTTTTTGGAGATTGTAATATGATATAATTAATCTTCTGGTAAAGATGTTAAAGCTATACTTTGGGATTGTAATATGATATAGTTAATCCTCTGGTATAGATGTTACAGCTAACTTTTTTGGGGATTGTAATATGATATAATTAATCTTCTGGTAAAGATGTTACAGATACACTTTGGAATTGTAATATGATATAGTTAATCCTCTGATAAAGATGTTACAGTTAAATGTTGTTTTTGTAATATGATGTAGTTAATACTCTGGTAAAGATGTTACAGTTAAATGTTGTTTTTGTAATATGATGTAGTTAATCCTCTGATAAAGATGTTAGAGTTAAATGTTGTTTTTGTAATATGATGTAGTTAATCCTCTGGTAAAGATGTTACAGTTAAATGTTGTTTTTGTAATATGATGTAGTTAATACTCTGGTAAAGATGTTACAGTTAAATGTTGTTTTTGTAATATGATATCGTTAATCCTCTGATAAAGATGTTACAGCGAGACGTTGGAATTGTAAATTTTTTAAATGGTGAATGATTAGTTGTATTTAATATCAATTCTCTTTTTTTTACAGTGCAATTAACTGATATAAACTTTTAAAATTAAATCGTTGTTTGCTACATATGTTATAATGAAAGTTTCTTTGGAATTAATGTCGTTATTTTGACAACAATGGCTTCGATAATCCAGTACGTGTTACAGAGTTTTACAAAATGGTAAAAAAAAGTAGCTACGGTATTCCATTCCGCTGTGTAATTCGATGAGTACCTTTGTTTCTATCTAGCACTTTATTTGTTCTACAGTGCTTTGCGCAAACAGACAACAATGATTGATCTACCGCTGTGTAATTCGATGAGTACCTTTGTTTCTATCTAGCACTTTATTTGTTCTACAGTGCTTTGCGCAAACAGACAACAATGATTGCTCTACCTGTGTAAGGATCTAATGGCATACGGAAATCCTCAGTTTTATTAATCCCGTTTTGTAAACCAGGTTCTTGCTCACTCTCTCAGCTGTATCAGAAAAACAAAAACACCATCTTATATACATATAGGATCTTATCGATACCAGAAGTATTAACAAACGATTATAACTTAGTAAATATAAATCTACACAATGTCATATCTACACTCTGTCCACAGCGGGATATCGAACCACGTATTTCAGTGCTGTACGTCCGTACACTTACCGCCGACACATAGTGGGGGGGGGGGGAAGAAGGAAGTTTTATTATAATATAGCCATTTTAAAAGACAGGAAAGGAAATTAAAGTTGATAAAATACCTCTGTCCCAGTGAAGGGGAAACATTAGTTGTGGAGGATTTTTTGTAATCAACGAACCGTAAACATAGTGTAGAAGGCCTTGCAGCGTTGGTTACAAACTCAACCAACCGGTCCCGAAATGTAGGAATTTACCACATTTGAAATTTGAGTGAGCAAATGGATTTAGTTTAAACTGGTTTGATTTGTTCTAAAAGTATAATTTTCAAAAAATGTTTATGTCTTTTCTCAAATTACGAATATAGACATTTAAATATCCACTCGTATGTGGTTGAGCTATACAAAGGACAACTGCAGTTGTTGAAGCTCAATCCCGGCGAGGATTGAATTTCATGACAGTTCTATATAGGGACCTCTGTGGTTTCTAATGTAGGAAAGAACAGGGAGCAGAAGTTGTTAAGAACGGTTTGTTGCACAGGCCGACCGGGTAGAACAACACAGAACCCTTGTGTACGAAGTTTGTCTCTACAAAGCTAAATGGGTCGTCCAACGAACACCGACCACCCAGAGGAGATTTGCCAGTTAAAATGTCCTCCCCTTTCAACCCCCTTACTCTTTATGTATTGCATGCATGTACGAGGTCCTTTTCGACAAATAGACCATAGACCATGTGCGTGGAAATGCTGTCTGAATAGGCATTAACAGAGTAAAAGCTGGCCGAACCATCTCTTCCTACGCTAACGTGTTCAACACGTCGATCTCAGGATGATAAAATCTATTACTGTACCTGACACGGCCATTTCAACAGAAAAAGATGTTATCTCTACTGAGTGTCTGACTTAGAAAAGCAAAACTGCCAAACAGTCAGCTTTTGATGATTATAACCTGTAATATACAGGTAAAAATAAGTTTTATTCTTACATAATACAAACATTCGAACAATTCAACGCTTTACATATATATAGAAATACAAACATTCGAACAATCCAACGCTTTAATATATATATGTAAAGCGGTGGATTGTTCGCATGTTTGTATTACTATATATATATGAGAACTAGTTCATTCTACCTGACCTACAATCACACTATGCCTGATTGGTTTATTTTTTCTGAAATAACTGTCATAAAAAGCACATTTCTATATTCGAGAGACAAAGAACAGAAAAGTTGTTGTATTAAAAAACTAAATTACGATAATTCAGGTTAATAGTTCAAAAAGAAATCAGCCTTGCGCGCGCACAAACAGAACACATACGTAAACTTAAACGTGTGTGTGTGTGTGTGTATAAGATTTAATCACCATTACAGAACGTTTTAAATGCTTAGACGAGAAGTAAGACATTCATGGTGTCTAAAGCACATTCAAAGAATCCATCCATATTGGAATAAAGTAGTGTAAAAAAATTGACTGAAATCTGGGAACTAGAAGTCGCAAAGTTGTTTTACAAAATTACATTTTAATTAATCTAACTTATTGTTATTAATTAAAATTTAAATGCTTAACATATTCCATTCTCGAAATTGCATCATTTATATGTATGTTATCTAAGAATATGTTCAATGCCATTCTAAAGTTAAGATATTTTAACCTAACAAAGAATTTCAACTTTACGGTATTTGAAAACAATCAATCATGAAACTAACTGTATTTTTGTGTGATAATTTTGATAACAGTAATAGCTACGCCGATTATTTTAGCCCTGTGTTCCACAAGTTAAAATAGTTGGGTTGAAAATAACCCAACGTTTTTTTTATTTTTTATTTTACGGTTATCTCACGAAACAAATCTTAGGTACGTGAAGTAGGTGGATAACTGTTTATTTCTGTAATGCTACCTGTATCTGTTTACTAGGTGAAGTAGGTGGATAACTGTTTATTTATGTAATGCTATCTGTATCTGTTTACTAGGTAAAGCAGGTGGATAACTGTTTATTTATGTAGTGCTATCTGTATCTGTTTACTAGGTAAAGCAGGTGGATAACTGTTTATTTATGTAGTGCTACCTGTATCTGTTTACTAGGTGAATTAGGTGGAAAACTGTTTATTTATGTAATTCTATCTGTATCTGTTTACTAGGTAAAGCAGGTGGATCTGTTTACTAGGTAAAGTAGGTGGATAACTGTTTATTTGTGTAGTGCTAACTGTATCTGTTTACTAGGTGAAGTAGGTGGATAACTGTTTATTTGTGTAGTGCTAACTGTATCTGTTTACTAGGTGAAGTAGGTGGATAACTGTTTATTTATGTAATGCTATGTGTATCTGTTTACTAGGTAAAGCAGGTGGATAACTGTTTATTTGTGTAGTGCTAACTGTATCTGTTTACTAGGTGAAGTAGGTGGATAACTGTTTATTTATGTAGTGCTATCTGTATCTGTTTACTAGGTAAAGCAGGTGGATAACTGTTTATTTATGTAGTGCTATCTGTATCTGTTTACTAGGTGTAGTAGGTGGACAACTGTTTATTTGTTTAATGTTACCTGTATCGACCCGGTAGCGAAGTGTCCCTTTGAATAAAGAATAGAAACGTTTATGTAACTATCTTGGAAAGTCACTCTTTTAGCTTTGAAGTTAATAGTCACGGTTAACTTAGCAAATAATATGACTCCCCCCCCCGCCCCCAATTCAGATAAGTTCCGCTGCCTATGAGAAGTCATATTGAACATTTCATGTGATTTGCATTAATATTATATTCTACTGTATTCGTAAAATGAAAAAAAAAATCACTGTTTCAAGGTCACCTACGGTAGTTAGTTTCATATATCTATAACATCTGGCAAAGCTGTGAGTCGTATTGTTCTTCCCACCGTTTATATTCGAACTTATTTTGTGCCCACTCTTTATTTATTTATTTATATATACAAAAGTTGGATTCTTATAGAAAATAAAATGATATTC